GCCTGGGGAGCCTGGGCAGTGCCCCAGCACCCTCTGGGGGAAGAACCTTTCCCTGAGATCTGACCTAACCCTCCCCTGACTCAGCTGCAGGCCGTTTCCTCAGAGGAGCAGAAAAAGTCCCAAACCACCAAAAAATTCCCATGGAAAGGGCACTGAAACTGCAGTGGGACCTGCACACCCCTGCTGGAGGATGTGGGTGCCGGTGGCTTTGTCCCAGCAGCCTCTGGGGATTTGTTCACCAGGTCAAAAAGGGATCCTGGGGCACTTCTTGGTCAAGCTCTGGGCGAGGAGGGCCCCCTGTCCCTGCAGGGCTGGCACGGGACGGAGCAGCAGGTGCCCCTGGTATCGGTGTCACCTCTGAGCCGCGGGGACGGGACGTGCTCCCCGCTCCAGAGCTTTCCCAGAAGCATTCCAGGTCCTGCCCATGTTCCTGGCACAGGGCTGGGGAGCTGCTGGCCCCTGGCCTGGCTGTGCCATACAAGGGAGAGGGAGCACGTGCCGTGCTGGTGACTGTTCCTGTCCCAGGACTGGCTGTCACCTCTCCACGGAGCCCAAAAGCGGAGCAGGGCAAACCCAGGGCCCTGCCCTCTGCCTGGAAGGAGGCAGGTGGCACATCAGGGCTGGGGGGCTGCCAGAGACCCTGGGGAATGTAGGCCCAGGGGCATCAGCTGTCCAGGGAAAATGGGACAAACAAAAGGCACATTTCTGAGCGCTTGGAAAGCTGCCACTGCCTGTGCAGGGATGAGGGACTGAGGGACGGAGGCACAGGCGGCCACGGGGCTGCCAAGGCCTGGGGGCTGTGGTGGCAGAGCTGTGCAGGGACACTCCTGTGCCACCCAGTGCCCCTGCTGCCCAACTCCAAAGGTGCAGGGGATGAGGCAGGTACAGCAGTGGTTGTGTCACAGCACAGGCCCAGGAATGCTCTGAGCAGGATCTGCTGCCCAGGGAGGTGGCAGTGGCTGGGGACATTCCCCTCCTTACCCAGCGGGATGTGGCTCCTGCACTGACCCCGTGGACACACAGACATGGGGCTGCAGATGCTGCAGGAGACCCCCAGCCCCTGCTCCCTCTTGGCTGGTTTCCCATGGAATTGCTGCCCCCACTCCCAGGCTTCCCATTTGAAGCAAACCCTAATGGGACTGATGGATGTGCTCGACACCTGAACCAAACCAGGGGGGTTTGCTCTGGGTTCCGGAGGGAAAAGGCCAGAGCCAGGCCCAGCAGTCCCAGGGAACCCACGAAGGAGCAGAGTGACCCAGGGAGCATCGATCCATGTGAGCCTAGAACACTGATACTGGGATTAACACATGGATAGTGGGTGGCTTTTCCAAGGCTCATTTATCAAGGAACAAAGCAAGCCGTGGGTACAAGGAGCCTCCTACACCTTTCCCTTCATGTGCCATTGGACTGTGAGCCAATGGCATCATCCCATCACCAGCCAGTCCCAATGAGTGCCTTGGAGCTCTCCCTGCCTGGAAGCCCATAGTGACCTCCCCTGGAGCTGGGAACCCCCTCAAGGTCTGAGATTCCTTACCTGAGGCACAAATCCTCCCTATCACAAGGTGGAGAGACTCTTGTTCACAGCAGCTCCTCGGTGAGTTCCTGACATCACACTGAATGAGCACCAAATCCATGCACTGAATTCCTTCAGATGTAAATTGTTGTCCCAGTTTGAGACTGAAACTGGACCTGGATGTCCCTAAGCTCCATCAGAAGTGTGTGTGTGTGGGTCCTCTCTGAACCTCATCCTCAACAGAAGGGTTTCTCTTACCCTTTTATATCTTTGGTCCCTTTGTTAATCATTCCAGTTTGATTCCAACTCCATTTTCCTTAGTCTGGGAAGAAGTAACGGAGGAACCTCGCCATCAAACTCTGTTAAATCACAGTTTCATAAATTCACATTAAAATAACTTGCTGAGAACGTTGATGGTGATTCTTTGAGTGACCCTAAATCACTCATCTGTGACAAACTGATGTTGTTGGCAGGATCCTAAATCGGGATTTGTGGCAGAACTGAGGCCCTAAAGCTCCTGAGCTCCTTGGCTTTTGGGGGCTGGAGGGGAGAGGCACAGGGTGAGCCATCGCTTCCTTGGAGCAGTGGGTGACCCTGTGCTGAGCCAAAGGGAAGGAGCATTTCCCTGGGAACATACGGCAGTGCAGCCCCCTCTGTGCCACGAGCCCGTGCCCGCTCCAGCTCCGGGGCAGGTGCCATCTGTGCTTTTTGGAAGGGCTCAGCCCCGCAGAGGGGAGCCCTGGGCATGGGACCCACTTGAGCCAGGCCCTGCAGGGCAGGAGATCTGCAAATCTGTTCTCTGGGCTCTCAGCAAAACCTTCACGGTGCCTCTGCAGCCCCGGAGCCTGGGGAGACTGACCCAAGTACCGAGGGGTCCTGCTCAGTCACAGCTCAACCTGCTCGCCAGGCTGGGCTCAGCCCTGGGGGCTCAGCCCTGGGGGCTCAGCTTAGGGGGGCTCAGCTTGGGGGGCTCAGCTTAGGGGGGCTCAGCTTAGGGGGGCTCAGCCCTGGGGGCTCAGCTTGAGGGGCTCAGCCCGGAGGGCTCACAGTCACCCACTCCCTGCAGTGACTCTCAGCTGTGGCTCAGGGGTGAGTAAACCCGAGATGAAAGCCCAGGGAGATGAAAGCAGGGCTGGGGCTGCTGAGGCAGAGGCAGAGCACGGCTGAGCTCCGACTGTGGCTCTGCAGACCTGTCTGGGCAACATCCTGCACCGCCGGGCGCTGTGGGGGCCGGGCTCAGCCGCAGCGGCACCGCCGCTCGGCTGATCTCCCAGGAAGGTGCTTTCCCTCCTCCTCCTCCCTCGGCCGAGCTGGTCTCGAGTGGAGGTGGGCGGGTCTTTCCCCCCAAAGAGGGGGGCAGAGGAAGGCAGGGCCCCGCAGGGCGCCCCGTGGAAGGGGCTCCGGACACGGCCCTCACAGCATTCCAGGCGGGGGGGAATGGGAAAGCTGAGGAACAGCGACAGGAGCTGCCCCAGCCCCGCTCACTGCCCACCCAGCCCCGCTCGGGTCCCTGCAGCTCTCCTGGTTTCACCGGGATAGAGCCAGTTTTCTCCCCAGGAGCCGGCACAGGGCCATGTTTGGGATTTGGGGTTGGATAATGCTGATAACACCCCAGTGTTTTGGGGTAGCCGAGCAGTGCTCACCCTAAGCCAAGGACCTGGAGTGTCTCGTGCTCTGCCAGCGAGGAAGGGCACAAAAGCCGGGGGTGGCATGGCCAGAGGGATATTCCACACCAAGGAACAGCCAAGGAACAGCATGCTTCTCCAGCTGAGCTGCACCCACAGAACACTGGGAGAGGGGCTCGAGGGTGCTCAGGGGGGCCCAGCACCTCCACTGTGCAGGGGAACGGGCAGGAGCTGTTGCTGCAGGCAGGGAACAGGCAGGAGCTGTTGCTGCAGGCAGGGAACAGGCAGGAGCTGTTGCTGCAGGCAGGGAACAGGCAGGAGCTGTTGCTGCAGGCTGGACACAGGCAGGAGCCCAGGCTGGGGAGCCCCTCACTCCCCTCCTGGCCAGGAGAATAAGGTGCAGCCGCCAAAGGCAGAGTTTTCCTCAGTTCAGTCCCTCAGCCTCGACGGCTGTGCCCGTGGCAGCACAGAGCTCCTGGGCAGGCTGGAACTGCCCTCCCTGCCCACTCCCACCCGAGCTCCAGAGCTGGAGAACAGCTCAACCCTGGGGTACGGGGACACTGCAGAGACAAGGCAGGACAACCCCGGGGTGTCGGTGGAGCCCTGGGAACCAGCCCCGACCTGGCACCCCGAGAGCAGCAGGAACCCCCCCAGGCCCAGAGCACCCAGGAGCTCCCGGGCACAGCTCCCAGGAGCCCAGCAGCCCGTGTTTGCTCTGCTGATAGGAGGGCTCTGACAAAGGGGCCATCACGTGTGCTGTGTAAATACAACATAATTTATTGGTTCCATTCCAGAGCACGAGGGGTGTTTGTACGACTGTCCCAGGAACAAGAGTCACGTATGTACAGACATTCCAGGGCACGGGAACACTTTGTGAGGAAGAAGTGGTGAGTGGTAGTTTGGTCACTGTTCATAGAAACCTTTTCTCTCACTGGTCCCAACCGTAGGTAGACCCACCTACCTACTGGGGGCACTGGGAGCTCTCACTGTGCAAGCAGCAGGCAAGGCCAGGGGGGCTCTGGCTGCACACCAGAGATTTTGGTCCCACATGGGCACAGGGCTGGGGAAGAGGGAAAGGGCTCTGTACCCTAAAGGGAAGCAGGATGTGATCCCCGTGGCCAGCGAGGCTGGAGGACAAGTGGTCCTTCCTGGCAGGGTCAGCGTACCACGAGGTGAGGGGCAGGAATTCCCTGTCCCTCTGCTCAACTTCCATGAGGCACAGCTTGGCTGCCAGTGGATCCCTGTGGGGACACTGCTGAGCTGCACCAGGGGAGTGTAGGAGCAGCTAAACAAGACAACAGCAGCCACCTGGATGATAAAAGCAGAAAAAGAAGCAGAAAACAAAAATATTGTGGTTTTGAGCAAGCCAGAGCTGAGATTAGTGTGTGTGTGAAAGGAATCCCAAGGTCAGGCTGGAAAGCTGCTTGCAGCAGGGCTGTTCTCTGGCTGGGAGCAGTCACACGGGGGGTGTGGGGAGATAAGGAAACATCTGCCTGGCTGGAGAGCTTAGACCACAATATTTTTGCTTTAATATTTTCTTCTTCTCCTTCTATCATCCAGGTGGCTGCTGTTGTCTTGTTCAGCTGCTCCTGCAGGGGAGCAGGGCAGATTCCAGCAGCGCTGACTCCATCAGCAGCAACCACAGGGAAAACCCCGCTCCCAGCTGGCCTGAAGGGAACACAGGCAGGGCCAAGCCTTGGGCACGGGGGCACAAAGCAGCTCTGCCCAAAACTGGACTCATGGCCAGTGGAAGAGGTGCTGGGACCAAGGAGCACCCTGGGGACCGGGGTACAGCAGCATTCCCTCCCCAGTCCCCAGGCAGCCTGCCTGCAGGGGCGGGCCGGGTGTCCCAGGGAAGTACGGCTTCCATGGCAGCACCAGCTCCACACACAGCTCTGCCTGCAGCACCTGGCTCAGCTCACTCGGGGCACAGGGCAGGGGCAGCTCAGGGCAGCTCTTCCCCTCTCCAAGAGCGGACATTCCCATCAAATGGCCCTCAAAATATTTTCTCTTTTTTTTTATAGAAATTACTATAAAAAACTAGTTAATCTAGAGCATCTTTAAAAAAATATTCCTGCAATATCACAGTTTTACATTGAAACTCATTAAAAATATATAATTTCTTTAAGAAAACGTCTCTGTTGTCCCCTTGAACCACGTCTCCAGGCCGGGAGTGGGGCTGAGCCCTCGGAGGAGGTGCCCAGGTGGGAGCAGGAAGGTCAGAGCTCAGTGGCACATCCGGGAGGTCATTTCCTTCTGCCAAAGGGACAGAGAAGGCAAGGGGGTGAAGGAGGATCCAGGTGAGGGGGTGGATGGAAAAACCTGCCCTGTGTTCAGTTGGCAGTACCCTTCTCAGGTGTGGGGTGACACTGCTGCCCAGAGCTCCAGGATGGGCAGGGCTGTGCTCCCCCCACCATTCCCAGGACACCCCAGGGGGTTTATCCATCTGTGTCCAGATGGCTGACAGTGCTGGGATCACACAGGGCCCACAAATGAGGCAAACAGCTGCTGGGAGTGGGAGGAGGTGCTGGAGAACAACCGCCCCCAGCCCTGCCTGTCCTGACTCCCAGTTTGCTGGCAGCCAAAGTGCAGGGCCAACTGGTCCTGAATCTGGGCAACCTGGGTAGTAGAGACCATTAAGGTTGGAAAAGACCCCCAAGATCATCGAGTCCAACCGTTCCCCCAGCACTGCTGTGTCACCACCCCTGTCCCCAAGGGCCACATCCACACGTCTGTTGAACACTTGCAGAGATGGTGACTCCACCACTGCCCTGGGCAGCCTGGTCAGTGCCTGACCACCCCTTCCTTGAAGGAATTTTCCCCAATATCCAATCTAAACCTCCCCTGGCACAGCTGGAGGCCGTTCCCTCTCCTCCTGTCACTTGTTCCCTGGCAGCAGAGCCCGACCCCCCCCAGCTCTCCCTCCTGTCAGGGGGTTGCAGAGCCAGAAGGTCCCCCCTGAGCCTCCTTTTCTCCAGGCTGAGCCCCCCCAGCTCCCTCAGCTGCTCCTGCTGCTCCAGCCCCTTCCCCAGCTCCCTTCCCTTCCCTGCACACGCTCCAGCCCCTCAGTGTCTTTCCCGGAGTGAGGAGCCCAGAACTGCCCCCAGGATTTGAGGTGGGGTCTCCTGAGAAGGTACCAGAGAGCTCTGTGCCTCCCCCAGCCCTGCCCTGCAGACCCCGAGAGCCCCCCCTGCACCCTGAGCCCACCCAGACACTCACCAGGGGCTCCAGCTCCTTGGTGTCTATGAGATTGAACTCTTTCACAAAGTAGTAAAAGTGCTTGTAGCAGGT